AAAAGTATTGTGTGATTCATGCCAGATATTTGAACTAACTTACATAATTGGACATGCAAATGCACATTTGCATCTTTAAAAGCTCACACCTTGAAAGTTTGCATGTAGGGGACTTACTATATCATCCAAGCATGCATCCCTGAACCTTTGAGTTCTACTTTTTTTTTTAAACTATATAAATCAAGTCATATGATATTATCATTTTTAGCTCAGGCTTCTTTTGCTTAATTATTTTTTGAGATTTATCCAAAAAATATGAGGTTTGACAATTAGGTTTGCAAACTCATCCTAGAAAAAGTGCTACATACCTCATTGCTGGATATCACTACGGTCACCTTTGAAGTACTCTCCTGGGGAAAATATACACCGACACCAACACCTAGTTCACCTGTCAAAGCAATTCTGGAGCTCTTTTTCTGGAATGGCCATACGAGCTATCATTGAATTACCCTTGATGTTCTGGATGTCATCAAATGTCTTCTTTTCAATATTTCCTTTATCTTCAGGTAAAGAAAAAAGTCATCGGGGGTCAGATCAGGTGAGTAGGGAGGGTGCTCCAATACAGTTGTTTGCTAACTAAAAAATTCCTCACAGACAGTGCTGTGTGAGCTGGTGCAGAGTTGTGAAGTAAGAGCTCCTTTGGGACCATTTTGCACACACTTTTCTCATGCTAAGATTTTCAGTTAAGAGTTTCCTATTTCTCTATTGATGTCTATTTGGTCTGCTATGTTTCTCACAGTCAGTCAATGAGTCTAATGCACAATTTGAAGAATTTTTGTAATGTTTTCATCAGTTCTGCTTGTTACCAGTTGTCTTGACCCTTCTTCATCAGTGATGCTTTCTTTCCCCTGAGAAAAATGTTTAATCCATTTGTATACTGCTGTTTTCTTCACGGTATTATCCCTATAAACTTGGACTAACATGTCCTTGATTTCACTTCTACTCTTGTCAAGTTTAACAAGAAATTTAATGTTTGTTCACTGCTCTGCTTCAAGCTCCAACATTCTCATGTCGGCACACACACAACATGCAACAACAATGATGAACACCACTCAGCAAGACACCACCATACATTGACATAAACACAGCTGTGAGACACTGATATATCAATGTTATGAAACCTCACCAAGTTGTTTGTACAGTGCTGCTGACATAAGCGTATGGTGACAAGTTCATTAACTTAATTGTCATATCTCATACAGTAGATATAGTTCAGTCATTTTTTATTGCTCTTTAGTATACTGTAATATGAATGCACATTCTCCTATCCATTCTGTTGATAGACATTTGGAGGGTTTTTTTTTTTTAAGTCAGAGTCTCACTCAGTCGCCCAGGCTGGAGTGAAGTGGCAAGCTCACGGCCACTACAGCCTTGACCTGCTGGGCTCAGCTGATTCTTCTGCTTCAGCCTTCCAAGTAGCTGGAACCACAGGCACGCCCGACCAATTTTTTGATCTATTGTAGAGATGAGATTTCTCCAAGTTGCCCAGGCTGGTCTCAAACCCATGGACTCAAGCAATCCTCTCACCTAAGCCTCCCAAAGTGCTAGGTTTATAGGCATGAGCCACCACACCCGGCCAAGGGTTTTTTTGTATGTAGCTATTATAGGTAATGCTGCTATGAATATTCTTGGTGAATACTTGCAGACATTCTCACCGTACATGTACATAAGAGAATTGCTACATGAATATGTATATTTTCAAGTGAGTAGATAGCACCTTTTTTTCCCCTAAATGAATAGTCTAGTTTTTATTCCTACCAGCATTTTATGTGAGTTTGTTTTGTTCCATATTCTAATACTTGTTAGTTTTTTTTCATTTTAGTTCTTCATGTGGGTGTGCAGTGGGTGTCTCACTGCGGTTTTAATTTCACTTCCTCCTGATTACTACTGGAACTTTTGCAAATTTATTGATCACTTGTCTAGCTTCCTTTGTGAAGCGCCTGTTGAAGTCTTTTGGTCTTTTCTATTTGGTTGCTTGTCTGTTTTCCATACTGATTTGTAAGAGTCTTTATAGATTTAGATAAAAGGCTTCTCTCTCAGGTGGATATTTATGTTGCAAATATCTTCTTTCACACTGTAGCTTGCCTTTTCACTCACTTAATGGTGTCTCTTGAGGAAGTGATTCGTAATTTCAATGTATTCAGATTTATCAATTGGATTTTAAAACAATGTAACTGGATAAGCAGTGAAAAATAAATTTCTAAGTTCAGTAAAATGAACTTTACATAGCTCTCTGGCTAAAGTTAGACATTCTTTATTTGGAATGTTATTTCTGGAATGGCAAGTTTTTGTTTTTAATAAACAAAAATCCACTAAATACAAACCATAGAAATACACCTACAATATTTAATTCTGCCACTTGGTGGTGCCATAGAAAACTAATGATAATTTTTAAAATTATTATTATGAGAGTTTGCTGGACATAGGAATTTGATGTTGGTAAACTGAAAAAATATTAACATTTTAAAAAGTTTGTAATTGTCTTACACACTGTAATGGCTGAGCCCTACACTATAAAATTTCTGGCTTACTAATAGCCAAACAAGAAACCAGAATAGCACTAGTAGTTTTTTTACCATGGCGAATTTCAAGCATTCTAAAATGCCAGGCCAGGCATGGTGGTTCAGGCCTGTAATTCCAGCACTTTGGGAGGCTGAGGCAAGAGGATTGCCTAAGCTCAAGGGTTCGAGTTACCAGCCTGGGCAACTTGGTGAGCCCTCGTCTTTACAATAAATCAAAAAATTAGCTGGGCATGATGGCGCATGCCTGTAGCTCCAGTTACATGGAAGGCTGAGGGGGAAGGATCACCTGAGCCCAGTAGATTGAGGCTGTAGTGGCCATGAGCATGCCACTGTACTCCAACCTGGGGGACAAGAATGAGACTCCAACTAAAAAAAAAAAAAGTATCAATATAACATCCCTGTACTAATTACATATATAATAAACATTAACATCTTGTTATATTTACTTTTTTTTTTTTTTTGAGTTAGAGTCTCACTCTGTCGCCCAGACTGGAGTGCAGTGGCCGCTCCCGGCCACCGCAGCCTCGACCTGCTGGGCTCCGGCCATCCTTCCGCCTCAGCCTTCTGAGTGGCTGGAACTACAGGCATGCACTACCATGTCCGGCTGATTTTTTGATTTATTGTAGAGATGAGATCTCACCAAGTTGCCCAGGCGGGTCTCGAACCCGCGGGCTCAGGCAATCCACTCACCTCAGCCTCCCAAGGCGCGGGATTACAGGCTGAGCCACCGAGCCCGGTTATATTTACTTTCAAAAATTAAGGATAAGAGAATAAATTTTATGCTCCTTTGTTCTCTTCAGTTTCAATCCTTTTCCCTGTTTTCTCAGGACATGGAACTCCTGTCCAGAATTTGAGGTGTAGCCTTCCAATTGTTTCTGTATTTTTAGTACATGTCCATGAACAATACATTACATCATATCTTTAAAATGTGTCTTTTCATACTATAGTTTGGTACAATGTGCTTTTTACATTTAACATAGTGTTTTACCATGTTGCCATATACAGATGCATGCAGACATATAATATCTAGGTCATTAATTTTAACTGCCAAATTGTAAGTTATGGCAAACATATACCCTATGTTTATTTATCCAGTCCTCTATCAACGAACATTTCAATGCTACAATGAATGCAATGCCTAGAATAGTATCTTTAAGATATTTAAATGAAGGAGTGGAAACCAGCTTTTATTTTTTATTTATCTTTTATTTTTGAGTTGGAGTCTCACTCAGTCGCCTGCTGGGCTCCGGCGATCCTTCCGCCTCAGCCTTCCAAGTAGCTGGAACTACAGGTGCACGCTACCACGCCCGGCTGATTTTTTTGATTCATTGTAGAGATGAGGTCTCACCAAGTTGCCCAGGTGGGTCTGGAACCCGCGGGCTCAGCAATCCACTCACCTCAGCCTCCCAAGACGCGGGATTACAGGCTGAGCCACCGAGCCCGGCTGAGGCCAGCTTTTAATTCAAGCAAAAGAGAAATAAATATCTCAGGCAGACTATTTTTTGTTTGCTTCGATTCTCCAGTTTTTTGTTTTGTTTTTTTGCCGGTAACGTCCACTTTGCATGCATGGCAGCAATCATTACCTGAAATTTCCTAACGGTCTTTTACCTAATCCACTGAAAAAGCTTCTGATGTGGTGGGCGTGAAGGGGGCAGCGGTGCACGAACGAAGTGGGTAGAGAATGGACACAAAGACATCTCAATGTCAAAATACAAAAGACAATGGAAGGTCTGTCTGGTTTTGGAGCACGGGAAAGTGACAGCAGTGAGCGTTATAAATTTGGGGGAGATCTGAGAGTTGACAACGCAGGGCGTGTCCTGTGCTACCGTTTCCGGATAACGAGTTAGCGGAATACAGAGATCTTTCTCTCCATGCTTCTTCTGAAAGATGTAACCATCAAACGCCCGGCGGTTGCCATGGGAACCCTGGGGCGGGGGGAGGTCGGCCAGAATTCTTGATGCGCGTAGAATGTTTCTTCTTCCGGTCTTCTGCTCCTCGCTATCATCGTCCCTCTCCTCGGTCCCCCGCCCATTCTGTTAGGCTCTCATCATTCCTTTCCCTTCTTGAACCTCTCCCTCTCTGTTCCAGGCCACCATCTTGGACCATGCGTCAAGATGGCGCCCTCTGGTCCCACAGACATGGCCCAGGAACACCGGCGAGGCTGCGCGCGCACGCACTCGGGCGCGGCAGGGCGGGGCAGGGACGTCAAGGCGTCGCCCCGCCCCTGACAGTCGCTCCGCCCCCGGTACCACACCGCC